AATTCTTTGCGCGCATTTCTTGTACGGTAGGCCAATTTCCTCTATAAATTGCACATTTTAGGGAGTTTTCATCAATTCCGAGGAAAACACAAAAATGTTTAGCGCGCCTCGGGCGTATTTTTTAGGGCTTTTTTAGGTTTATCCTTTAAAGTTATTTAAACACATAATAGTCCCAAACTCAAGAAAGACAAATTCAAGATAGATCGTTTTAACCTAAAAGAAGGGCCTCAATGTATTGATGGTGAAAGAATATGTTTGTAATAAATAAAACCATGATAAAAATGCTTATATTTAGTTTCAAACATACGTGTGTGGCCTATATTATAAATCAGATAAGCCCTAAGTATTATTGTTTTCTATATTTGGAGTGGGGTGGGGTGGGTATGGTAAATTACTAACCGGGAAAATAAATATCCACTCCGACCCAAGACCCCTGTTACGCGCCTGGTGTTAGCGCCAATGTGTGCCCTTGTGCGGACAGGGGATGTGCCTCCTCTGAAGCTGGAAACCTTGTTTTTGCAAAATAAATTTATGCAATTTGCTATTTAGGCCTAATCAATAAATTCCTCATCAACCGATAAAACCCTAAACATTCTTGGAATTGACATAACATTACTGATGTCGTACACACCCGTTATTGTGAAATGTGGCTCTCTTTGCAAGCACATCTAACATCTAAGGAAAGAAGGGCTTAGATTGGTACCAGATAAAATAATTTGGTATCAACATTATATTAACATTATGCTAATTTTCATCTTTGTAAGCGAATAAGACAGTGGAAATTATTTCTGTGACAGTCTTTTGAAGTGTGTAAAGCCCCATTTTATCCCATACATAGTCAAAATATTGGGGGGGGGGGATGATACAATGGACCACCCCCCCCCCCTTGTCAAATATTGGGGGGATATATCCCCCATCCCCGGGATATCTACGCCTATGATAATATGACATCATCATGCCCAAATATGGTCACATCACACATATATGTCACATAAAATATGATAGTGTGGACCTACCTTGAGATTGACGTCAGTCTCAATCTAATGATTGATAGGTTTGTAAGCTCAGTATGGTTTTAGCACGTCGGGTACATACTAATACAGGTCTTCCTCTAATTAAAGCCTCCTACGCTTCCTATTAAAGACCACCTCCAATTGAAGAACATTTTTCTGTAGTCCCGGATATTAACAAATGTCTTTTATTTTTATTATTCTAATGACTCGAGACAACGCTGCTAAAGACCATGGAAACCCCGGTCCCAAAAGTAGTCTTTAATTGGAGGGAGACCTATATTCCTATAATTACTATATTTGCTTTATTGTTTTTCTGTTTCACTATAGTTTCTTCAACACAATGTGATGCAGAGAAGCAACACAGTAAGCCGAACCCATGTATACTTCCATGGTATCTTCGACTACAGTGGTTTCTGCAGACGATCGCTTTTGGTGCAACGCCACCACTAGTCAGTGCATATTGGCAGGAAGAACGATCGCATGGCCTCGACAAATACAATTGGTCGGCTTTCAACATGCACGTTCATGGCGTGAACTATCTGCTAATATTTGTTGACACTCTACTTGTTGCAACTCCGGCAAGACTTGCGCATTGCATCTACCTCTCGATCTACGGGTTCATGTACCTAATTTTTACCGCCGTTTACTTTTTAGCTGGCGGTACAAATGAATTCGGACAGACGTACATCTACGATGGATACGTGAATTGGGCAGGCGATCCGTTAAGAACTGCGTTCGTAATGTTCGTGGCCACCGTCGCTATTCTGCCGACATCGCAGTTGTTTTTCTTCCTCACGGTTTATGTTCGATCTTTCCTGAGTAACCGATGCGGTTGTAATCCACAAACGGCAGAAGGATACGATAACGATTGTTCAAAAGTTACAAGCCAGTGTAAAGTAACTAATGGCAAAATCGGATGCACTTCGACTCAGAAAAGTAAGGGAACTCAAGACAATAAACAATAGTATAAAAAACAAAAATGAAACGAACAGTTAGTTTCATTTCACATTCAACACATTACAAAAAAGCACAAAATATTCAAAATAGAGAATTAAGACAGTCGAGCTGGACAGGATTGCTCAAAACCGTTCTAGTAATTCTAGAACATCTGTCAAGGAGCTGTCCAAAACACGACTGACGAAACAAAATAAATATATATACATAAATAGATAAACAAAAATATTTAAAAAGCACTGATTTACAAAAAGAGGTTCGTTTATGGCAATATTTAATTTGCTTAAAAAATGTTTTGATTTTATTTTAAAATAATTGAGACTAGTAAGAAGCTCATCATGAACATCAGCTCCTAATTCCTCCCAAATACGAGGAAAGGAATACAGAAATTAAATTTATAGGTAGTTCCGGAGAATGTGTGAATAAATTTAAGATGTTCTAAGTGTCTTTTGTTAATTGCTACATAATTTAAGATATTTATATTTACTTTACAATCTAATGATTTAGCTATAAAACTAAATGTAATAAACTTAATTCTATTAATGACTGATATCATATTAAGTAATTTCAAACGTTCCTGATATTCTAAATGATTACATTTCAAATTGCATGTATTTGTTATTCTCCCTTGTAATTTTCCTAAGGTTATATTATTTTTAATTGTATGAGAGGACCACGATAGCAAACCATATTCTAAAATTGTACGATCAAGGGCAATATATAGATAAGACCTCACAACCCTTTTAACAAAACCAAATATCCTCGCTGCTTTATTTACAATTTTATTTACATGGTCACTCCAACAGAGTGAAGAGTTACCGGTAATCGTTACGCCAGGTAGTAATTTTAATATTTTCTTCAATTGAATAGTTATTAGCAACATTACGAAGGCGATCTGATCTTGTCATATGTATTACTTTACATTTCTTATAATTTAAACTCATTAGATTTTCTCTACACCAATTGCTGATGCAATCAATGCTCCTGAAGGATGCAATAATCATTTGTTGACTTAATTACTCTGTAAACTAATAGTCTGTATATATGACGAAGATTATACTTAACTATTGACGGAATAAATGCCTCTATAGTAATAGCTTATGTCTATGATCAAATGATGCAAACCGAATACATTTTTATAACTATTTATTTGTGGAAAAAATATCGACATTAATTTGTTTTTATAATAATACACTGAGAGAAATGTTAAACATACGGCTTTTCGTGACAACAAACGAAATTTTCTCACATATCTAATAATAATAATATTCTATCTTCAATAAGAAATTTGCTACTTTTGTTTTTGATCCCCGTGTCCCTTTAGATAGCCCTAAGTTATTTTAGAGCAGACATGGGAGTGTGATAGTACTAAAATCGACTCTGTTCGTTTTCTTTTCTTAAGCTTGCAACCCATTTATTAATAACTACTGGGCTTACCGGGACTAATGATACCCGTAATGTTGATTAGCCTACCATAATTATTAGTAGTGTATAGGCTTATATTTCTGGGCCTCATTTTATTGATATTATTGTGGTGGGTGTATGTGTTAACTGTGTTCTATAATTTGTACTAGATTTACTCTACAGTAATATGTACTACGTATGATTAATTATCTATTTCAACTTCAGTTTGATTGTCTTTTGTAATACTGTATTGGCTCGTTGTCATATAGTCATATCATTGCCATCATCATTATATTCATTCTTCTCATCCATAGCCTCATTATACTGTAATATATTCCATAATCGTTATTTACCATACTCATCTATATACTCCGTAATTATTATCATGATCATTGTCAGCATCACGTTCACCGCTGTCAACATCTTGATCATCATAAGAAGTTGCGTTCTACAATAACCATACCTTTGCTATCATATCATTCATATTATTCTAATCATCATCATCGACATTTTTATCATTATCGACGTTATCATCAGCATAATATTAATAATAATAATAATATTCATCAATCATCATCACAATCATCATTATCATTAGCATCATCATCATCATCATTATCATCATCATCATCATCATTATCATCATCATCAGTACTGTCTGTTCTTCTTTTGCTAAATCTTAATAAAAAGTTGTAGATCTGTGTAGTCTCGAGTTCATTGACATTGCACCTACTAATTCAAAAGCTTAAATCATGAGGATCAACTTATTGATCTTGTAAAGTAAGTATGTAACAAAATTTAAGTCATATTTGGAGAAGAAGCGCGAGACCAGACTGCGCGCGAGACGTCATTTTAAAGTCCGCAAAACAGGGGAAAGTTAAGAAACAGAAGCGGTGCACTGTTTGAAGGTCAGCAATCCAACATTCCACCTATTATTTGTTCATAACAAAGCAACGGAAGGTTGAAAGACCTCGAAATGTACGTGCTGTGAATGAATACACAGAAGCAATTCCATTTTATTGCAGACTGTTATATTCCTTGGTGCATAATTAAAGTTGGCCGTTGGCTACTGCCGCGTATGCCAACGGACATGCTGCGGGGGATGATCACATTTCTACAGGCATAAGGGCGAATCCAGGGGAAAGCCGCCCTCCCTCTTATATGTTTGAATATATAAAAAATATGGGAGCAAAAATGAAAATACATTCAAATTCGTAGTGTCATTCCCTGCCATTAAGAGCTGCCATAAATAAAACGTTAAGTACCAGCCCAAAATATGATGAGGGCTAAGGGTTGTCCCTCCCTTAGGTCCCCTTTATTTTGCATACTGAATCCGTTACTGGCATAGAAGGTTGAATTCGTGGTATACTCGCGGTTTGACTGCCACTTTAAGATTAAAATCACTCCATCAATGGCAAGGTCAGAATACCTTGAGGGCGTTCTGATCATTATAACGTAATTGTGAAGTCAAAAATAAAATCTATTCTCGATTGGTATCTCTCATCAGTTGTCTCGAAATTATTCAATACCCGAGGGCAACGTCAAGTACTGTACAGTGTAGTTGCTATACTATGATCCATACGAGAATTAGATCATGGTCATAAGAAAATTGTTTGTATGTTACATTCCAAAATAATGTCCATACATTTAAGGAATTTTGTATTTCCTAAGGGAGCGATACTCCGACCGATACTCCTTGTGGTCGCACGCAGCTAAGGCGCCCCCTTGTGGTTTCCATGAGTGAAGAATAAAAAATCGCTAGTTAAAAACTAAGTTTTGAGTTAATCCAGTCAGTTCGGTCGGAAATGCTGCACGCTTAGCTGGTAGAGAACTCCGGAAGAGGCATATCGAAACGTACTAGCTAACATGGTATCACCTATATTATTGTTCAGGACGATGTATTGACGTCAGTTCTCTCGTCAGGGACTATAACTTCGTGATAAAGATTTTTGTTTCAAGAAGTCAACGGTCTACAATATTTTTCTTATCATGACGCACACACTAAAACCGCAGTGTCAGTTTGAATCTAGGCATTTTTAATAACCTAAGAAATATCTTAAATACCGTCGATCGTAATAGAGTAATTGGACAGGTGTGTAAATGTGCGCATATATTTGACCCGATCTACATCTTCTATATTTCACGGAGATCGTCCTTTCTTTGGCGTCAGTTTAAAACACTTATATTTTGTAATCATGTGTGGCCGTTGTGGAGAATTCAGTGTCAGAAACTTTGGATGCAGAGGAGCAGTCTTGGAGGATTTTACCGTTCCTAGGGTAAGTTGTCAATGGGTACGTGCTACCATGGTGTTACCTCCAATGTGTCACTAACCGATGAGACGTTGTAATCAAGTCTTCATTTTCTCCATTAAACATTTGTGTTCCAGTTCCGCTTATAATTTTCTTCTCGGGAATTTCTATCAGTCAGGCTACTGCTGGTCTCCCTCCAATTAAAGACCACTTCTGGGATCATGGTTTCCATTTGACAGCTTTGGTCTCAAATTAAAATAATGAAGATAAAAGACATTTCTTGATTTGGGATGGGACCACGGAAAGTGGTCTAGTCTTTAATTGAGGTTGTCTTTATTTAGAGAGAAGGAGACCTGAATTTTACCCTGATAGATCCCAGGGTTAGGCAGCTTTTGCAAACAAACCCCCAACATTGCGGATAGGCTTAACGTGACAATTATTTAACCACTTTATAACTACTGTATTATGTTATTTTTTCGACTGAAAAATGAAAGGTAAGCGCTAGACTTATCAGGCTCACTATTCACAAAATAAACCGTCCAGTCAAACCGACGAAATTTCGACACTGCCATAGGAACACTTTTATTCTGATGTTATTATTAGCCGTTATCATTTCTGAATTCTGTAATGTGAAATTTATTTAATATCGCTGATGTACAGCAGAGACGAAACCAACGAATAGGCCTGCACTACGGAGGTCTATGATGTATTGTGAACGTTTACAACCCACAGTCTATTGTATGCCATGAACGTTCTCTGTATAATAGAGGCCTACATGTACATGGCTTTCAAGTGTCTATCAACAAACATTCAACTTCATACGGGTATTTGTTTTTTTGCATACCAGCCTCGTACGTCACTTACCGAGTGTTGATAGCAGTATACCAGCTGTCTCTTATACACATCTAGATGTGTATAAGAGACAGGTTTGTAAACTCTGTAAATGGTTGAGTTATCTTTATCTCATTTTTCCTTCATTATTCAAGGCCCCAATCCAATGTATCGGACAGTACCGTATTGTGCAACTATGATATAAGAAGTTCAATGATGCAGAGTCACTTCTTGTTGGTGTAGGGACAGTGCACCAGACAAGCTATAGGTCTTAATACCGGTAGGCCGGTTATGTGTCAACCGTTTCCAGTAATATTGTTCTTTGAGTCGGTCATCGAAACAATCGAACGTAACACACTTCAAGAAAAAAACAAACAGATTAAAACTATATGCTATTTCGATTGTGTCAAGGTGGCCATATAGACTAAATTTATCCAGTGAACCGCTGTCGCATTAACCTTACACAGGTTCATTATAGAACCGTCGGGTTTCCAAGCTGGTATTGTCATTAGAAGGAATATGGCATACAGGATATGCAATAATTGGCCTACATTTCTGGAAGGCATCACTCCATTGCCAAATACACTTTTCTTTTAAAGAGCCAGTAAAATTTTGCCCCACGCTCAGTGTTCTTATTTTTGGCCAATTTCAGGCTCAATTGTTCTTACAGTACGGTAGTTTGTTCTATATAAACACTTTTCAAAGTGTAATAAAAGATATTAATGTATATAGAAGGGTATTACGTAGGTATAAACTTTTTAAACATGAATAATTCACTGTATATGACTAGCATGATTTGTTGGTTTTTAAAATAAATTTTAAATTAAAATCTCATTGGACATTTTACTTCAGCCTCAATTTTTCTTATTTTGTTAGGCCATTTAAAATAAAACAATTGGTTAGCATCCTTATGTTATCAATTTTCATGGTAGGGAGGGAGGTTTTTATTTTCTTTCGCAGCAAACATGAAAATAACAGTGTCATAATGCAATTATCTCTATATAATCTCACACAATTCACTTCTCAACACAACAGGCATCATGGATGCCATGTGGCTACAGTATAGGCCTATAGACCAACAATAGAGCATAGAACTGCAAGTGGTCTGGCTAGCGTGCAGACGGGTGGTAAACAAACATATTAAATGGAGTTTGTAAAAAAAAAATGGGTCGGTGGCCTTTTTGATGGTAGGGGGGGATGCTAACCAATTGTTTTATTTTACATGGCCTTGTTAGTTTTTTGTGCTGCAATTCGTGATGATTTCGATATCAGCATTTTCGATAGCAGCATGATTGGTAATAAATACTATAGAAGGCCAAATTTGCTCATCAACCCATTCTACAAAATTCTACCCACCAGGTAAACTACCCCCTCCCCTTTCCTGACAAGACACAAGAACGCTTTTAGTTTGATTCAGTTCATGACATGTATAAACACCATTAACATTTTTTTATCATTTAGTACTCAGTATCAGTAGTAATATCGTCATATTCTTAAAATAATAATAGTGTTTTCGTAATAATGGTTATAATCGTCATATTATTAATTTTAATAATGTATGATAGTTAGAGGAGTTTATTTTATTATAAACAAAATAAACGAAAGGCTCTCGTATCTCGTAATAAAAACGCATCATTAACTTTAATGTAGTCTATAAGAGTTTTATTTCTTTTTTTTTATTTACAAAGTACCATAGCGTGAAAGTTGACCGAGTTTGTTTCAAGTTCATCTTGACATTTGCGCTTTGCCATTTCGCTTGTTACAATGTACAAGCATGGTACAAGCATATTAGTTGAAACACATATCCGAAGCGACAAACTGTTTCTTATAATTAACTTCTGGAAAGGTTGCGAGGTTCTTTCTGTTTTTTTGTTTTTTTTTCATTCAAACTGTCGTCCGAATAGTTGTGCGTCGATAGTTCTACATTTAGCTAGGTTACTGTATCTGTTTGTACTAAGCAAGGCTTGTTCCTCCGTGTTTACACAAAGAAGTTTGCAATGGGTACCGTATTATTTTCTCACCGGTTTTTAATTGCAGAAAAATGCATAATGCTGTTTAAAAACCTGTCGACTGGAAAGAAAATATTTTCTTAAAACAAATTAGTTCGGCATCAGTTGAAAACAATGAAAATATTCAGCATCAATTGAAAAGAATAAAGATACCGCACTTTCATCGAATCGAATGAAGTAGAAAGTATAAAAACACTGGAATGTTTCGTAGTGATGATTAATTGTGATTGTACAGGTTATTCGGGATACATTTGGACTTCTGCTTATGCTATATGTAATACTGTATAAAGAATACATAGCGCATTATTAGCGCTTATACGCATTGAGGCTTTAGCATAATGCACGTTATAAGCCAAAATTATTATTATTATTATTATTATTATTATTATTATTATTATTATTATTATTATTATATTAATCAATAGTTCACCTATTCGTTGATAGGCATATACCTGAATATATTGCGGAAGCCCCGTTCTTCCCGAACAACAGTGAGCGAGAACCATACATTCGTTTTGTTTGATATTATAAAAAATAAAATCGATATAAAAACATAAGTTTGAGATAATTCCATAATATTGATTTACTGTATTTTTTTTTCTATTATAGTGTCCATGGCCAGGACAACCAGCCTCGTACGTCACTTACCGAGTGTTGATAGCAGTATACCAGTGTGCATGGAACATTCTTGTCCCCTTTATGTGGAATGATAGACGTTTTTTCACCAACCATACTGCAGAAACAGTTCGATGGAAATGGTTTATCTACATCTCTAATTGGAGTTACTTGATCCTGAGTTTCTATTTCATTATGGCTGCTTTGTCGAATTTTTATCATCACGTTAAAGTACACTGTAAATGTACGTTTTCTTCTTTTCTTGACAATAGGGAGATTTCGAAAACTCTCGAAAACGATAACGAATACAAATACGTCATTATCATTATCGTCATTCGTGTCTAAAACAGGCATGAATCGCCAACGTTGTAACAGATATTCTACTGTAGGAGAATTGTTGTCTAAAAAATTGATGACGTAACCGTATTCGTTATCATTTTCATAAGTTTGCGAAAACTCCCTATATTACGGTAACATTCTAGGCCCTATCATGTTGATATTGAAACAAACGCCAAAGGAGTGATATAAGCCATCGTGACTCTATATTCAAACTTTATTTGTTCATTTTCATAAATGAAATGAAAGTGTAAAGGTTTTTGCTGGGTATCACTTTCTACGAAGTTTGTTTCATACTGCTCTTGTATCGGTGAATTGGTGAACCCCATGGTAGATAATAGTAGGCCTATATAACACATTCTATATCTTCTGTGTGTGTGGGTCTTTACTCCATAGTCTAATCCATATTGTCAGTGCACGTTCCAATTTCTATTTAGGCCTTTATGATCTTTATATCGAGGGTTTCCATGTTGTCATACACTAAATCTGTTATACATGTCCACATATTAAGAGTTAATATCATTGATTAATACTATATCCAAAATTCTCATCAATCCCGTATACTGTAATAAATTTTAATCATCAATTCAGTATACGGTAATAAATTATTAAGATACTACGTCAGTGATTTGTCCTTTAACAAAATAATTAATTTCCGTAAATGAATCCTATTTGCTGTAAATTTCAAGGCAACAAATGCGTATGCGAAGAATATTGGATATTTTAATTGCGTCTTTTAATTGGAGAAGGAAACTAACAACCTTAAAGTAAGATAGTCTCTGAAATAAATTAATTATTATTAACAGATTTATACTAATTTTGTGTGGATAAACAGAGGATTTTAGTTACTGCACGCTGCAGTATCGCATCCCATTGTGCTTCTCAGGCGCGATTTAGTTAAAACAGGATTCTTTTTGATTTTACCAAAAAAGTGCGTGAACTATTTTCATTTAAAAAGCCTTATAAGTACCGGTACTGTAGGCCTAGATACAGATATGTTACTATAATATTAACCTTAGTCATTTCAGCTATTTCTTTTAAAATTTTTACTAGGCTCAACTAAGGACACCAAAAATGATGAAATGCTCTATGCTGATAGTGGACCTGATAGTTTTCAGCTTTCACGGGATTCCATGATATTAAGCGAGAAGTGTGATAGTAATGTACCGGTAACCGAAGCGGATAATCACCCGCCACCGAAGATGATGAGGCATATTTCAACTGTGTCTGGTGAGAAACTGATCAGCAAAAATCGAAAGCAATACTACGGTTTTCAGACCGCCTTGCCATGGTATTTCAAACTTACATGGATTCTGCAAAGCTGTGCGTTTTCCCTGGTCTTAATCATTACCGCTATGTACTGGATTATCGAGTTTGATAGCACTGTCTCCGAAGTAACTGTCTTCAATGTTCATGTTCACGGAGTGGCGCTATTTCTCGTCGTTCTCGATCTTTTTCTGACGGCCTCTCCCGTACGATTTTTCCACTTTGTCTATCCGTCATTCGTCGTAATCGCATACATCATATTCACATACATTTATTATCGATTCGGTGGAACGAATGAATACGGGGATTCGTATCTCTATAAAGATTGGGTAGATTGGAAGAATATAGAAACGAAGACCAGTATCGTGGCGGTTTGTACAACATTTGTGGCAGTGCCAGTTGCGCATATGCTTTTTTGTCTTCTGCATTTGATTCGGAAGCGAATGTTCCGTTGCTATGAGAAAAAGTACATATTGTAATGATGTTACCATTTGTGGAAACATTGTTAATTTATTAATCTTACATTGCAATGTGTGTAAGACATAATAACATAGTGTAGGCCTTATAAAACATGATTCCTACAATTTGTTCGTTAGACTCTAGGCATATATATAGTTTAATATTCATGCCGAAAAGGAGGCGTATGGATATTTAAATGAACCATTTCGGTTTATGATGTTGTATATAACTCGCTTGACATATTATTTCATTAAAACAAATTATATTCGTTAATTTTATGATGTCATAGGCTATGTGGTTGAATATTGGAGAGTGTTCAGAATGCTTTAGTTCAGTGGACATACTTTATGTTTCCCTATATAAACGAGTGACATTTGTTAATTCCTGGTTTAAAGAATGAAAGAAAAACACTCTATACCCCTCCCTCCAAGTGAAATCGAACACTGAGAGGGGGAAAGAGAGGGAGATTCTAAATTGTTTTAGGCCATAGTTTTGAAAGCCTAAAACATACGGTAGATTCTATTTATTATTTTCTACATTTGTTTATCCACTCTATCAAAGTATATTTTTGAAATCTCCTTTCAGGAGCCAAACATTGTTGATTCCCCTACTTTTCAACCCTCACCCCATTAAATTACAGCAGTTGAAAACCCCCTTACAGCTTAGGCCTATTGGCATTATTTTCTTCGTCATTTCCGTAAAAAGGTGTCATGTTAGTTTTAATAAAGTGTACACGTTGCAAGTCCCAGGCCTGTCGAATGTTGATAAACCATTTGTCTGTCATGGGAGCTTTGACTTGACACTCATTCGTCATTTGCATGGTTGAAATACAAACATCGTGATGATGTGGAGCACGAACGTAAGCCCTCTGATTGCTAGAAGGTGTTCGCGTAAATCTCTAAAGCCAGGCGTCGTACGGCCGTCGGCCGATGAATCCAACTCGACCTGTGAGAGTAAATGTTGGTTTCCATACAATCGCTACACGCTATCGCCGACAGCCTTCGGTGATGCTGATTGGTCGGTCAAATCGTCATTGCGATTGGAACTGAAAACTCTGTAGCGACAGTGTTGCGATTTAAGGAAACTAGGCTTAGACGGCGCAACGTCTCGTCTGCTGATTAGCAGTCTGAACGGATCGTAAAATGATCCGTTGCGCGCACGTCGTGGCATTGCATTTTCATACAGTGAGTGCCCGGTATAACATGTACCGTAGTGAGCTCCAGGGTTGAGGAGGTAGAGGAAAAGCAAATTATTGCGGGAAATTAACGTAACGGACAATTTGCTAACCCCTGACTTTTGGATGTTGCACTTAAAGTACCATAAAACGACATCGTAAACGTATACGTAAAGACGTTTGTGGGTCAAGCGCGCATTATTCCTGGGCCTGTTTTAATTGGTAATTTTTTAAGTTTGATTGCGAGTCCGGAAGTATTCATTTTACGCGATGCCTCAACCAAAGGCAATTAAAAACCTGAATTAGAAAAAAAAAATCCCCTTTAATTAACGGATATGTAACATAATACCTTTCCTGTATTATTTTGCATCGATCCTTAGGCCTAAATTGGCTGGAAATGAATTTAAGGATTTTTCTAGTAAAATGTCTGTAAAATCAGCGAAAGAAATTTCTGCTTCTTTGGAAGTTAAATAACTTACTTGATCTCTTGAAATAAGCTATTCAAAATTTCCCAAGTGTTTCGGCATTATATACAAATTTAAGTCTCTACAACGACTTATTAAAACCATTCATTAATAATTGATAAATAAATTGTAGAAGAAAAACGAACTACTGATAATAGATGTTTTGTATTCACGTACGTATATGAGGCTTATTTCAATAATCAAGACAGACTCTTGCTAAACACTTTACCTGATCTGTTAATAACTAAACCTCTTGAAATAGCGTCCTTTGAGGAAACATCCGTTTAAGTATAGAATTACGAAGAGGTTAGCAAACACGATCTCAGCATGTTTTCAACATTACGAATGAAATGATAACGTTCTCAAACATTCTTTGTTTATCTGGTTTGAGCCATTTTGAACAAAGTAATATTGCACCAAAATGCTTAGGCCTACCAGTATTCATATCTTGAGCACATCGAATTCCAAAGCCTATATCCAACGAGTGGGCATGTGCTGTGCTTTGATTGGCGATCACGCCCTCGACAGTAATCGCATGCAATATACGTCTGAAAATATTCTCAGATTGGGGGACGGACAGTAACAAATGGGTCATGTCCCGATCCATTGGATGATGAGGTATTTAGCGACCCTTGTATATTACTGAAACGTGAGACGAATTTAATTAGTTGCCTAATAAACATGATGTATAAAATATATACAGTATATAAATTGAATATAAATTATATATAAATTGTGAACTATGAGGCGGAATCTACGAGTGAGAAAGAACCGGGGATTTTCTGCATTTCCGTAAGACGGTTTAGAGTACCAATGCTACTTAGACCACACAACGAATTTAATTCATATTATTTCGATAGTTTTTTGGTGTCTGAATAATGCACATGGTGTCGGTTTTATATAATACAAAATAAACTATGAAACGTTATATTTATCACGTATTTTTTGGGTAACAAGTTCTGGAATGAGGATATTTCAAGGTAATATCAAATCAGTTTCCCAGCTACCTATTTCCGGCCTTTTCTAAAGTTTCTTACGCCAGGATAGTAACCATAACAACCGCCACACTTGTCTGAAATGCACCAAATATCATGTGATTGATAGGAAATTCATTTCATATTTCGTAATTTCAACACCTGGACCCGTGATGGCATTTTTCCAGCAAAACATATTGCGAATGTGTTTACAAGTGATTTGAGCCACATATTAATTCAGTGCGCAGCAGAGCACAATATATGTCTACTTCCGCAGGCCAACACCACAGATTGAAAATGTCTATTATAATTCCTTTCAAATCTTTTAGTTGTGATCACAATAAATTTGTACTTTTTTGCAATAGCCAATTAAATATAAGAATGCGTACTGGGTGAAAACAATGATAGGCATGTTCGTGTACATATAAGGTCAATGACCCTCTTATTGAGCTCTATCGACATTTTTAAATTCACAAGGAAACTAGAAACGGAAGCCAGGTTACCTGGGCATGAAGAATGCCTGGTATAATTGAACGAATGCAATTTAAGCCGTGGTAGGCCCACACTTCAATTATCAGTAGCATAATAGACAATACACGTCTACGCATTCTTTGTATCGCAATAACAACTTTTTTTTATTGAAATGTTAAAGCGGCGAATACAGTAGGCATATTACAGTTGTATTATTCCAAAGGTTTGGTAATGGGGCAGACGGAATTTGTGGGGGTTTAATAGTGGGAGGGGAGGGGGGTTCCGGCTCCCTAGATTTTTCCTTCTGGTGCTACACTTTCCTTAAGAGAAACGTTTATGACTTCGAGTCAGGCTCCGTAGGAAAAACATTTATATGTTGTACAATTGAACCTAGAAGACATTGAAGGGTGTTTGACGAAACGCGCGATTTATAAGATAGACATATTTTTGAACATTAAAAAACTGGGGGGGGGGGAAAGGGTAGGCCCTTACTGTTTTTTTCTCCCTAGTCTGGCTTTGAATTTCTTGGAATTCCAAACTGTTTCTGTTCAGATGGAAATAATGTTGATGACGACAATGATTGACGTTTTTGAATTATAGGGAGACAATGCAAGCGGAGCGAACCTAAACTGACTGGGGAAATAGCCGCGATTTAAAGAGCCTTCCCCAATCCTTCAGTCGGAGTAGTGGCCAAGCGATCCTACAAAAAATAGTATTAATTGGTATACTTTGTAATGCCTCTCGACCGGAACAAGCAATTACGAGCTTGGGTAACGATGGTCCCCAAAGGGCTTCTAAGATTCTGGGGATCAATAGACTACAATATACCGCTGGGGACAAAAAATCAAATTGAAGAATATCACCCATGCCCTGCCTCCTCCCCTGGTGCTGCACGGGAAATAATGCGACGCGCTTCATCAAGTTCAATCAGTGCACAAGATGAGATCTCGCAATATTATTGTCAACAGGTAAATGTGGATTAATGTCGTCTAGCTATTTATTAAAAACAATGTACCACATATGAAATTACAAAACATTACTGCAATGCTTTACTATAAAATATTAAGAAGCCTATATTAGACCAACTGTGTCAGGGGTGTCCACCCAATCCCATTAAATCTTTGGTATGTTAAGGACGGCGGGCGCATTTTGATCTCTGCCATTTCCTCCTTATTGAGGCACGCAGATGGTTGGAAAGGTGAGGGTGTCGCATGCCTCGTTGCGGATGACTCGCGTCAAGAAATCCCAAACAGGCTGAATAATGCTATGCTATACTATGCTTGGCATGTGTCATAATTAATCTGGTACCCAATTACAGCATAAAGCTCTGTCCGTATTATCAAATGTTCTTTACAAAATAAGCTGTTGTATAACCCATATATTGTCATGATGTGCGCCTATATATGGTCATGATGTGAGACCATCACGTATTTACGCATGGGTGGAGCCCGGATTTGCCCGGGGTGTGGGGTGGTCCGATGTCCCCGACGAAAAAAGTGGGCGTTGTCAGGCGTCACCCAAAATCTTTCGAAAGTGTCCCACGGGGGCGAAGCCCCAAAAACCATGACGATTTAGGAGTCTCTATTGCTTACTTAATCGATTTATAGTAAAATATGTAAAAAATACAAACAGGCCTACATTTTTTCTCGAATTCTAGTTTTTCTCCCCGACGGAGGGTGGGGGGGGGGAGGAAGGGGAAGCTCCCTCAACAGCCCTCCCCAACATGTGATATGCCGGCGCATATCACATGTTTTTGTCAAATAAAATTTAATAGTCTGTACAGGGCTTTTCAAAGCAAATACACGTTACACCATACTGTGTATACCGTACGCCCAAACGGATTCATACACAAACTATAATTTACCATTGGCTTAATATACCGTATACACAAATATTGTTTCATAACTGGCACCCAATACCCGTTACACCGTACATCGTATACGGTAGGTCTTCAAATCAATCAAATAATTTTTTATTTGGAAATTGCACCTTCCATCGGTGGCACACACAATGTGTGGTGCATCCTTATTTAACAAATACAAAGCACAGAAATACAAAAATAAAACAAGGCAACAAAAGTAACTAAAACCGAAACAAATAAATAAACTTAATTTGTAGTGATGCGAGCAATGACGAAAGTTGAAACGAATAGTAATGACATCACATTGGAAACATGAACGACTGATTGATTAGTACGGTATTGATTGAGGATATAATCTGTAGATTTAAGGTCATATGCCTATGAATGGGGAAGCCCCCACCCCTCCCCTCTTGGTTGCGAAAAGCTCCCATTCTGACGGGGAAGCACGACACATTTCGTCACCAACGAAACTTAAAGGAAAAGTGTGGGTGGGTGATTCACAGAGATATTCACAGATATACAGAATAGATTTACAAAAAAAATCGTTATTAACATGCTTTTTACATTTTTTAGGCAAATAAATTTTAATATCTCTTATTAATGTAATTCAATCAGAAAATGTTGAAATTTTCGGTAACTTGGAATTTAAACAATTGAGAATTGATCTGACCATGTACGTATCAGAAGAGATCTATGTTTTAATGATATTTTGCGCGAACTACAAATCGTTGTCCTAAAAAGACTACCGTACTTACCTTACCGTGCGTTAAGCTGAGTTTATTTGGCACCAGCGATTTATGGGTATGGTGTCTGTGCTGGTTTCAATCTTGCCAAAAATCATTTCAATGATTTTTATTTTATTTTCATATTCAATTTCGTATGAAAATAAGGGGAATTAATAAGGAAGTAAGAGTTAAATATCTTGACATATCGTGATACTTTCAAATTATTGATGATAATAAATAGGCCTATTTGAGAAAAACGGTTCATAAAAACATATGTATTATCACCTTTGGATTATTATTCTTTGCATTATGTAATACTTTCTTTTAAAAAGCGTATGATAAATCCATGGGTGATATTCTTGACCTCATAACACAATTGCTGAGTATCCAAATGGTAATCGGAAGAATTAGTGTATGAATCCCGATAGAGACAACGTTTTTGTCAGATATTATAATTATTAGGCCCTATCATATTTATTATTCACTATTGGTAGTGAAATGGAATTTCCAGAAATTAATTAAAATAAGTTTTAATCTTGAATCTTGTGTTCTCCATAACAAATCTACTATGTGATTCCTTATCGCATACGTCGCTGTGGGCCTACAAATCTATAGAGTGCAGATAACTGTTCCTCACCAATAATTAGGCCTGCACTTGATCAATCGTTAAAATCATGTTAGGGGTTCGAGGAAATGAATACTGTAAATTGCACTTCCTTTAGAACTAGGTCAACATTGTTTTTTTTTTTTATAGAATGTTGCGCATCTTAGAGACTTAATGAAGATGGAGAAGGAAATTTAATTGAATTCTGTCTTTTTGATTTAAAGATGTACGAATCGTAACTGTGTTTGAGCTAATTCAATATTTGAATCCCTCCCTGTTTAAATTAAGTTATTTTATTTAAATTATATTTAAATTTTAGACCCATAAATTGGCTAACAACCAATATGATGTATGTTGGGTAACGCCTATAGCACGGCTATCGCGTACTGGTACATTTTGGTAGACAGCTTGCTGAAATTAGCCAAAAATCTATTCGATCTGTCTCACATAAACTTTTACTGTTTGATTTTTTAGAGTATACATTGGAAAGTATATATTTTACTACAAAGACAACTTTCATATTGCAAGTTAAGACAGAAAAATACAATGAAAACCAAGTCTTTTTCTTTATTTTTTATTTTCGCATTTCATACGCATCCAACAAGAACATCCTCCAATTACAAGATAGAAAGATTCTTGATAAACTAAGTCTTTGAGTATATGTATGTATGTATGTGTGTGTATATGTATGCATATGTATACATAGCTTATAACAAGAGTATGTTTGTATGAGATATATACTGAGCAGTGTTTAAGCTGTATTTTGCTAAATATTTTAATTCAAAATTAGTCAAAAGGCTAATGGAATTAAAGCTGTAATTCTTCTTTTGTTTTGGCTAATAAAATTTCTATTTGGCTAATTATTTTCATACTGAATTAGCCAAATTGCTAAATATTGTTTTTGGCTAGTTAAACCCTGACTGAGAAAATGAGAATAAAGGTGGGCTGCTCCCCACGCCGAAAGAGAAGTCTTTTAATGAGGCTAAAGGCCTACTTACATTATGACGATAATGATCAACGTTAAAAAGCTAAATAGCAATTGTTTACATAGAAAAAAAAAAAAAAAAAGAAGTTTTCACACTAGCATGATTCAATAATGTGTATCGTGTATTCGATAAAAAATATTTTCACAAAACAAATAAATGATGTCATCATCATGGGGAAACGATAAATCGTAGTAGTAAAAACGATTTAATCGTTTTCCCATGACTATGACGTCATTTGATTTGATTTGTGAAATTATATTTTTTTATCGTATACATGATAAATCGTCATCGAATCGTGCTAGTGTGAAAAACCTATCTTTTTTCTTTTATTATCTCTACAAACAATTGCTTTTTAGATTTTTATCGTTGACCGTTATCGTCATAGTGTAAACAGGCCTTTAGAGAGTGGAGGTAATTAAATAAAATATTAAAATAGAATACATCATGACAATCACTGGAGGTTTAACGGTCTTTTGGACGGTATTTCGATCCGATCAACAAGAATTGAACAGATGTGAGAAACCTCTCATTATAGTCCCAAGCCATCGTCGTTCGCCCATATGGTATAAAGGGGAAGTCATTGAAATAAGGCTGAACCCTATTAGACAGCTACTAAGCCTGTAGCTAGCACAGTAATAGTAAATATATTTTCGCATGGGTCCATGATTGTACGGTAACTTTGCAGTAACACACTAGAGAGTGAATGGAAGTAACAGATTCGATTAAACAACTACATTGGGTTTCAACTTAAACATACTCTTCAATAGATTTTTTTCATTTAAATTTCAGTTTTTTTTCATATTTCAAAGATTTTTTTAGATTAAGTCATCTTGCTAGATACATAGCACCAACTATAATCTACTGTATACAGGCCAAAGTACCGTAAAACCTCGAGTAGAAGCCCGATGGGCTTAATCTCGAGAAGAAGCCCATCTCAAATTAAAGCCCTTCTTTTTAGTTTGCAAAATTATCTTCGAAAAGAAGCCCAACCAAAGTTCACAAAAAAAACAAAAAAAACAAAAAAAACAAAAAAACAAAGAAGCCCAGGGTTTCAATTTGAGGTTTTTTTTTACAATAGCATTAGTAATGCATACAAATTCATGGATATAATACAGAATATTTGCAATACAAATAAACATATGAAAACTTACACAATAGAAATAAATCATATACAGTACATACATGGGTAATTTGATGATGGAACATTGCATTCACAAATTTTGATGTGAAAGTAGCGGGTAATTAATAAATTACACTACTCTTTCAGTAAAATTGTATACTTCACCAAAATACACACATGAGAAAAGTTATAAATAAATTTGCTAAAACTGTAGATTGATAAACCCTTTAGTGCAGATAATATGTGCGTCATGTGAAGGGATTGCCAACTATCTAACAGGACAGTGATTAATTCACTATTGGTAATACTACTTGGCCATGTGGAATAAAATAAATATAAATCCTCATTTACATTGACAACGTCTCTTACCACTGTACACATGTATTCTACAACTAATTTATTTTTTATTTATCATTTAATAACCTAATTTGGTGATAAAATAATCAAAGCCATTATTATATTTCTAATGGTTAAGGAGTGATTATTTTTTGTTTATACTTTATTTCACCAACAAGAACTGTGATAGCACCTACAATAGCATCTTTAACACTGTACAATCCATAATTTAATTATCCATTTTTGTTAATTAATCAATATTATAATTTGGAAAATAGTCATAATTTATACTGATGGTTAAGAGGAGACTTATTTTCATACTTTATCATTTTTTATTCATCAATTAAATTATATTTTCTCCTCCACCTAGAAACATTTGGTAAAACATTTTGCTAAGAAAATAAAATGTTACAGTATTTTTAAATATTTCTCCACAATCCTCAGAAGACCTTGTAAAGATAAAGTTTGCTTAATCAGATATAAGAAAAAGTCTTGCCTAATGATAACCTTGTACAAGGTACCTGTACATTATGGGTAAAAATGTTGTACTTATTTTATCAATCAATAAAAAAAATTAAAAGCAATATTTTATGTAAGTACAGTATTCAGTACTGTTGAGAGGGCTTCTTCAAGGCTCGAGGTAGATATTCGGATGTAACTTGATTCATGACAACGAGGGCTAGCCATGCAGGGCAACCAAGAGCTACATACCACCAGATTCCGGTAACCTTCCCAGTAAACCAGTTTGAATATAACGCAAGAACAAGCGTAGCGTAAACCAGACAGAAGAGAATCAGTCCAGAGGTTGCGTGGTACAACTTAAGATCACCCAGTTTAAATCTTCCAGCGAAGAACTTGTGATAAAGAATAGGAACTCCTCCCGTGGCCTGTACTACACTGTAAATCAAAGTGATCAGGCCCAAGAAACCGTGCCACGACTTGAAATGTGGCTTGTCGTTTATTGCTTTGTTGACAACTATGACGGTAAATCCGACAGCAGCAGCGATTAATGCACTGGTGTTTGTTATCCAATGGTAGCTGGTTTTCACCTTTCTGCTGGCTTGTGGAAGGAGAGAGCTTTCAGGTGAGAAGAAGATAACAGCTTCAAACATCAGAAATGCAAACTGTTGGAGGACAGATAGTCATCAAAGAATAAATAAAATAATAAAAATACAGTATAAATAATAGTTAATTCACCCAAATAAAATTTATTGTTAAATATTTCTGCAATCATTTCAGTAATTTGTGCAACAACAATGACTCACATGGTTTATTATTTTGACACACCTTTTTCTGCACAATTATTTTTCCAATTTTACTTTCACTCTTTTTGAGTATAGAAATTGCATATTTTAAGCACCTTGCATTTAGATCCGAAAATAAGGCTGTGAAAAATTACTTATAAGCCGACATTGCTGCCTGTTTTTGTAAGGTCCCTGCCCTGGCATTTATGTGGGGAAATACCTGTGGAGAGAATTATGAGGAAGTTGAGATGGGTTGGTATTATGATGCTTATATAGCAATCATTACCAATAATCCATTAAAACAAATAACATCATTCAACCTTATACATTACATGCAAAATTTTATGTGACTTGATGTCATACTTACAGCAAGTGTCATCAATGTGGGATGCCAGGAGAACAGACCTAAAAAAGAAGAAAATATTAAAATAGTGACTTACACGGGCCAATGCTACACAAATCACAACTGCTAAAAATAATTTGTGCAAGCTTCTACGAACCCGCTTCTAACCACTATTTGATACATGTAGGCAAGAACTGGACAATGTGCTCCCTATCCCCTCCCTACTGTAGGCTAGGCCTACCACCGCCTCATTGACCTTTTTCATGCTAAGGGTTCAAGTCTGTTCGCGGCCGGTCACGGCGTCTCTCACAGGTATGACACTGTGGCACACTTGCCCTGGCTGGCCTAAGAAAAAAAAAAGAATCACAAACTCACTTGATCCAGGCCATGCTTCGTAGATTATAAATCCTGTGAATCCAATGGCTATTAGATGTGCTACCATTGCGAAGAAATTGCGAATTCTCTTACATATGCCTACTTTTAATTTAGTTTTCTTTTCAAGTTTTTGAGTGGCTTCTGCCATGAGAATGATTTTACTACAAGAATAGGCTTAATTGAATCTTCCAAAGGGTTGGTTTGACGTAATATAATATAACTTTATATTCAATAAAAGCACATTTTTGTTATATGTCTGTCTTGAAAATTATATATCAAACATGTTAAGAAATTTAAATATAAAATAATAATACTTCTTGAATATTTAATGTCTGGTAAATACTATTTCATTTCATATTGTTTCCTACTATATAATGGTATCATCCAATATGGCTACCGACGTAAACAAACTTCGGTGCATTTTCTTCAGTGAATTTCATCCTATTACCGGCCCTAAAGTCACGTTTCAGGTAAATTAAGTCTTCCAGTTCTTTTAACGTATTACTGTTATACTGTGTCTTTATTTATATTATAACAGGCACATGTGTACAATGGGAACAGCATTCTCATTCAGACAGCATTCGCGGCCAGCAGCAGGGCCAAGCAAGGTCCAAGGAAGTATAGATAGGCAGATCTAACTGCACGATTCACGTTTTGAACTAGGCCTAGCCCTAGGCTAGGTCCTACTTTACTAGGCTAAAATGTTAGGGCTAGGGAGAGGCCTAGACGTTAGCAAACAACCTGTAGGCAATGACAATACATTTGAACTTTTATACCAAATGATATTGATACATCAGAAAACATCTTTTCTTGAATTATAATTTAAATATCAGTTATATTTAATATTTAATTTACTACTAAAGGCGCCAGAAGATTTCATAACCAAAGAACTTTTTGATCAACTTCACGTGTACATCATAACCAAATCCGAACTCAATAACAAGTTGATAACTATGTAAGTGTAACTCTGTTGCAAGTTTTATCCATTCATTTTTATATTGCATTCAAAGTCCAGGGCCATGGAAGACCTAGAGTTGTTGATAATTAATGAAAAGTGCCCATGGAGCATTTATGTGGTTGAGGACACAAAAAAGATGCAATGCACACAAGTAAGGGGTCGTTTACAAATATCAAAATTTTCACTAGTGTACAAACTGTATTCTTTTTCAGCACCCCCTCCCTCCCCTCTGAAAATGTACAAAAAATATGTTTATTTTGCAAAACCATTCTCCATTTTTTTGTGAAGCCAACTAAAGCATTGTACTGTACTTGGTTGCTTAAAAATGAAAATTATATCCATGGTTACATTATAGGCCTAATTTTACCATTATTTTACATTGCATGTTATTCTGAATTAACATTTTTGTTCATATGTAAAACAACTAAAGCAATGTACTGTACTTGATTGCTTAAAAATGAAAATTATATCCATGGTTACATTATAATTTTACCATTATTTTACATATTGCATCCATGTTATTCTAAATTAACATTTTTATTCATATGTAAAAGTGTACAAATTTGTCTACCCCCTCCCCCTACAGTATCATACTGTTTGTACACTTGCGAAAATGTTGAACAACCCCTAAATAGAAATGAAGTATCTTAACTGTATACCACAGAAGATGTGACATTTAAAATGTATTGCACTGAATTGTTTAATATAAAGTCATCAGGTTCAACTTATTTTCATTGTTTATTTTCCTTTGCAGAAATGCACATTCTTACAAAATAATAGGATGCCCAATCGGAATTGAGGATGATAAATACTCGCGCAATGTTCTTCACTTTAATTTAGCATTTGTTCTAGATATTACAAGCAGTACAAAACCTTACCAGCCATTGGTCAAGAAACTCGCTGGTTATTTAACTACATTAGAGGTACATATATTTTTTATTAACAGAATATTCAATTTATTAATGTCTATGTAAATTCGAACAATGGACTTTTATGGAGTGTCAATCAAAGTTAACTGACCAATCAAAACAGGGCCTGGAATATGTGAGTGTCCTACCAACACACTTGCACATGTTTACATACATTTTATGCAGAAGTGTTTTGTGGGACCTTTGCAACACTTATGCAAGGGTCGGGGATTTAAGCGGAAAGGATCATAAATTGAAGTTGTGCAAGACTGGTGAGATGCCTCTCTTACATAGCTTTGAAACTAATCTTGTATCTAGTAGATTTCTAATAATGATTTTTACTTTTTATCTATATGTATATTTAACTCATTGTATAAGCACCGGGATCCAACTTTTGACTGTATATATTGTCGAGAATAAATATTACTGGATTCCTTGATTCCCATTCAGCTGTTATTGTTATTATTATCATCACTCAAATTTCTGGGTTTTTTTCAGTTAGAATGTGGGTTTCTGTCAAATGAGGAGAGTAAAGCATTGTTACCAGATATAATGAAACAATTATTATCCAACCTTAATGAACATGGCAAATGTTCAATACCTATAAGTAAGTACGTAAATAAATCCTGGTGTAGTACCCGAGAGCAATGTGCTCAGCAAATGGCATCTCATGAAAATTTCCCGCCGATAAAAGAAAAGCAATTTTGAGCGGCTGAAATATTTACCAAAAAGAAACAATTATAATCATTTTGTCATTAGTGCATCAGGTTTTTGTGAAAATTTGTTGGCACTAATCGTCAGAGGCCAAGGTGTTGGAAGCCTACACATTTCATATATTTGACATTGATGTTTTATATAATACAGTGCATGATCAAATACCCAGTCATTGGTCTTACACCTACAGTAACTGGCTTCCTGGGACAAAGCCCTTTATTTTTGCATGACCTTTATTTCGCGATAAGACAACAATCACAAAAATAATGTTTCTTCTATTTAAAAAAAACGACTGGAAATTGTAAAATCGCAAAAATAAAAGGATGCAAAATATTTTTAATTTTTAAATTGCAAAAATAAAAGGAGGCAAAATATTGCAAACTGTAAAATTGTGAAAATAAAGGGCATAAAAAATATAAGGCTTTACAGTATTTATTCATTGTATTGCCATTGAAACCAACCACCTATCCTACTCCTGTATGAAAAAAAAGAAAATTTTTTATATAAAAAGTTCATTGCTCAAGGATATACAAACAAATAGTGAACATTGGCAGTCAAAAGATTTGCTACTTGCAACATTCACTTTCACCCACTCATTAAAATATTTCAGAATTTAAAATTAAGAATTGTGCGATAGTAAGTTTCTCTGTTGATGGATTCGAGACGGAAATGTTTTAATTATTTGAATGATGATAAGCAAATGTTGCAATATAGTGTATGTGTATATAATACTGAAAAATGATAGACTCCTTGATAGATGTAGTTTTGATTGTAATAAATGTTTAATTTTGTAGATGATTCAAACACAATCCATTTGAAGATTGTTCCTCCAATACGTGATGCTCTTCCTTCTTTTCAGAACTAAAAATTAAGAATTTTCCAATTCTCTGATGATAATTTGAAGAAGAAGTTTATTATAATTATTTGAATGATGTAGGCAGATGTTGCAACTTGGTACTTGTGTATATAATGCTGAACAATTATATTCATTTGTGGTAGATATATTTTTTTATTGTAATGACTGTTTAATTTTGTAGATGATTCAAACACAATCCATTTGAAGATCGTCCCTCCAATGCGTGATCCTCCTCCAGTCTTTGAACACCAAGTGCCGATGTTCCTCAAAGACAAATCTTCCTATGACTTCAATGATTGGGATCTCACTACACAGCAGGTAATCAGAGTTTATATGCAAATTAGTAATGTAATATGCAAATTATTGTATCTCTTGTGTTATTGTAGTTAGTTGGAAATAATTGCATTGATGTACATTATACACTTAGACTGAGATTAGAGTGGAGTGGATCTGTAGCTTGGTGGTTAAGATGCTTGCTTTCTAATCCCAGGGCCTTGGGGGGTCATGTAAATGACATGTGTACTTGCTGTTGGATGTGAAGGAAATAAATATAAAATTGTCATAACATCATCATGATCACCATGATCACTATCATCATCATTATCAACTTCATTATCATTACCATCTTTATAATCATCACAATATCAGAATCTTTGTAATCATCATCACATCATCATGACCACTATTATTACCACCATCATAATCATCATCACTATCTTCATTTTCATTATCCTTATCATACCATCACCACCACCACTATCATTATCACTACTACTATCACCATCATCTTCAACATCATCATCATCATCATAAATTTATCGCCATCACTACTATCATACTTACATTTTCTTAGATTACATTAGATTTTTGTTTTCAATAGAAGTCAAAATTTTATTTTTGTTTTCAGATCTTACCATATATTGATGGTATCAACCATGTTCAGAGGATAGCAGTTGAGGCTGATGTTGATCTAAATTTAGTGAAAACCTGTCTTCAAAATTTATTGTAAGTATATTTGGGTGTATTTGGGAGTATGTTTTGCCCTATATTATCCTATTACTTTGTTCTGGTGCATTTCAGAAGGGCATCTTATTAAAAGTAATTTATTAATATATTTTTCATGCTATATATTTCTACTGTAGAGATTATTAAAAAAAATCTAAATTTTATTGAGATATATGTACTGCATTAATATTAAAAGGTGTTTGTTGTATTGGAAATGATTTGGTTTTCCAACCTCAAGGTCGGGTTTCAATCCCACTGTGCATTTTGCTTGTGTCCTTGAGCAAAGCACTATCTACCTTGCCACAGTCTACCTAGCTGTATCAATAGATAACCTGCAATGGACTAGCATCCCATTTAGTGGTAGTATCCATATCCACTCCCATACGTTTCACACTACACAAAATTTTCATCATTATGAGCCCTGTTGCTCCCAAATATTTATACGTATTTACTTTACTTGGTTTAATTGTAACCCCATAACACCAACAATCTTTTTACCTGGTCTTGTGGTGATTATTAAGCGTTTATAGAAGGTCATTAAGAAGGCAATTCTATGCAGGAAGGAAGCTTCAGTGTACAACCACATAAAAACCAATTAATCTTCTGGAGTTGTTTCCCTGTCCGTTGCTATAATAAAGCTAAAGTATTATTAATATCATACTGTAGAATTAGTTTTTATTGGTTTATTATTTTTGCCATAATCATTATTAATATTAATTTTCTTTTTATTACTGTCTTGATTTTATTTCCCAAATGTTGTCAGTTAATTATTTATGAAGGTTAAAAAAAATCCTGGTAGAATTTGAAAATAAAATAAGAATAGTGTTCAAATAAAACCTATCTAAGTGTCTTTAAATGGTGCGGGGGTGGGGGGAGAGTGATTTTTAACTCCTTGACCTTGACTTTTTGGATTTAGATATATTCAATGGGGGAGCGACTGGAGGGACGAAAGTGTTTTTTTTTGGGGCGTGTGCCACCCCCCCCAACAACCCAGCATACATCCACAGTTATGTCACTTTTCTCAATAAAAAATTTGACAAGGTCGTTGTTATTACCAGATTTTATGATCATCAGCTTGTCACTAGTTTAGAACACATGGAGTACCACAGTCGTGCCATCACGAAGCCATGTGGCGCTCTCTGTTGTCAACAGATGTAGGTTACCATTCATTACGCCTGAATGACTTCATAGGCTTTCTGGAATAGGCATTTTGAAATCTAATATTTTACCATCAAAATGTACTAAAAACACAAAAGCTTTCATTATATTAGGTATCGAACACAAATTTAATCATCAATTAAATTTACAAAGAAAAGGTAAGATACAACATCTTAATAATTACGTTAGAAATTGGGATCAATGGTTTGTCAGTGGAGAAAATGGCGTCCGGTTGAACGCATTTTGCAATGATAGTAACGGAGTAGTATCACATGGCATCGTGACGTAACACGTAACACTGTAGTACTCTATTATTATTGAAATATATAGCCATTGTGGTAATGGTTATTCTAATTTCTATTCTCGCCACTTCCACATAATGTATTGTTTTTGCTGTTTAACAATATTTTATATTCTTAGTATTATTCTGTTGATAGAAACTTAATTTTATTCTCAGATGTTTGTTGTCAATCATTTATTTGTGACAGTTAAAAAGTTTTTTTTTCTTTTAAAATGTGAAAAAAATCAAGTATGATATTAAAAAAACTGAATTGCTCAATTAATTAGTTTATAATATATTATTAGTGAAATAGGGGAGTCCCTTGTGTAGGGGTTGGCTGCAGTTTTAAAAGATATATTTCCCTTGTGTTGTGGCCAAAAAAGTTTCTCCTTAATAGGGGTGTCCCAAAGGAGGGGTTCATTTAAATAAAATTAAATTGCTCAATTAAAATGTGACAAAGGGATTTGTTAAACCAGATTTCTTTGATTGACAGCTTGTCAATACATCATCATTGTGGTAGTGGTTACTGTCCACTCTCTCCACATCTACATCAAACACTGTTAATGACCTTATTGTGAGGTTCAGTAAAGGTTATTTGTTTGTTGTCCTCATGTCCTTCAGAGAGTTGCTTGTTGATTGTGTCACATCCTTGAAGTCTGATTGTCACTGCACTATTAGTTGCATAAGAACAATATCATTACAAAAGAAGAAGATCCTGAATATTGAAAATATGTGAAGTGAGCTAGGTTGATAATAGTTGATGAATAAAGGAGGTAATTCTTGTCGGACAGCTTTGGACCCCTGGTGTCCTAAACCACAGTGAGCTTGTTGGACTAAACTCTTCCTTTGCCAATTGCAGTTCCTAATATTGTGGTCTAAAAGCACAAATTTTACCATCCTAAGTGGCATATACACCATAGAGAAAATAGTAACTGTTCTATTTTCTCTATGTATGCACTCTCTCCCCATGCAGACCATCCTAGGCAATCATCTATTGGAGCCTTGACATTATGGTCCAATAGAAAACACCCAAAACTAGCAAATATTTTTCTACTGTGATGGGGCCCTTTGACCACTTTCGTGAGACCCGTGATCGATCAGTCTAAAATGTATGGGACTCCCAATCTAGCCCCGTGACTTGTTACTTCACTGATCATTCTAAGCCATAAAATCTCTTCCTTGCTCCCCATTAGGTTTTACATGTTGGACCTTGATGGAGATAGGCTTCCCATTGATACGACCCTCATTTTGGACTTTTTTTGGATCACCTGTTCCCAATTTCAAATCTGAATGGTTTCAACTATGCCTCACTGGTAATTGATAAATGCCTTAATATTTTGAGGTTATATCTGTTAGCTAGATTAATGATAAATATGATATGATAATGATATGGTAAAGTTAAAAGGCGTTTAAAATAGAATCCCTTACGTTTATTCACTTTCATGCCATTGAATATAATTATGAATGCTGCATTAAAAAGCAATTTGTGAAATTTCTCAAGCTCCGACTTAATTTATTTCATCCTAAAATGGAAATTCTTTGCTTGCATTATGATTGAAAAAAACTGAACAAGGCTATGAATCACTTGTTTGCCTATGATGACTTACTTCTCTTAGAATAAGGAAGTCCCATTATTGAAAAAGAAACTATTGAAGTGGATAACAATAGGCAAAGTCATGTTCTAGTTTAAGAGTACAGGCCATTCGGTAAAAGTATATTGCTCACTTTTGCATCGTATGCATGCCGAGTGCAACGGACCTTTCGACTAAGTCCCGCCCCTTGGATATTGTTGCTAAGGTCCCTAAAAACAATAGCGTAAACGTACGTTTGTGGGAAAACATGTGTGTTTGTAGGACACACGCCTTGTTCTGATTGGTCAGTTAAGTTTGTCACTATAACAACTCCCTTTTTTGATTGACACTCTTGAAAGGAACATTTGATTGGATTGGATTTATTCGGGGTAAACACTTCTTTTCTGAAGAGTGTACTGCGTTCTGTAACGTGCAAATGGGCCATAAATGCACACAGGACCAATAGCTTAAATGTCTCATTCGAAAGACAGTGCGCTATTGTAACCTGCAGTCCTCCAGCTGAAACACAAGGAGAGGCAGAAAGGGAATTGAACTGGGGATCTAGAGATTTCCACAGTTCAGCGCACACACAGTGGCTACCACCAGATTAATAGCTGACTGAGCTAAAGCTGTTTTCATTATGCAATGTAGAATAATTTCGTGTCAAGTTTTTCTATCATTAAGATGTCATATTTTCCTCCGTATCAGAGACTATTATATTTACCATAGTTGAGCTATTTATGTTTTTGGGTCTGCAAACTAATCTTTTAAGTTTCCATACAGTTTTAATCTTGTCGGAGGTATTTAATAATTGGAATAATTATGTTTGGTGTACTTTTGTCCCTTTTGTGTGTTTATTGTATTCAAATTAGTTACCAAGTCTCAACAGAAATACCAGTAAAAATGAGAAGAGATTAAGATTTTTAAATGATTGAAAAGTAACTTCGATTGAACAATTTATTTCTGAAAAAATATCTCAAATTGGCCTAGTACAAGACAACCTGAAGAAAGAAGTATCACCGGAAAGTAGAAACAGAGGGTTAATGTTAGGGTCATTATGGGGTTTGTTATGAAGTCAGTATGAGGTTGGGGGTGGGTGATAGAATGAGTGGTAATTACTTTGAATGTTAAATGTTAAAGCTATCAAAGTTGCCAAGTTCTTCCTAAAATGCTATTATAAACAACACCCTCTTCCATATCTTTATATCCCACATCATGGAATTTGGCCAAAATCCCATTAAAATAATCTTTAAGTTTAAAATTAATTCTTTTATACTACCAGATTGTTGTTAGGTTTTAGAATTGAATACGGTGAATAAAATCTTGGCTGTTTATTTAGTTTAGCCCCTAGATCAACCTCTGGATAGCAAATCTCTGCTATATTAAGGCTTTAATGTAAATATTTAGAAATACTTGAATTGAGTTATGGCTTTTCTTTCTACTTGATCTTCCTCTTCGGAGGTTAGTATGCAACAGTTATTTATCTCTTATTAATCAAAATCTGCAAGATGATCTTTATACTGGCTATTCAACTGCATTATGTCCAGGTGTCAGTGGAAACACACCTCCTGTTTTAAGCCTCTGGAGAAATTTTTTTTTATTATATATTGTAGAACTGGTACTCTGCAATTTTTAATGAGATACAAAGTTTTAAATAACTATGGTGGGGGTGGGGAAAAGGGACGTATACTACCCCTTTTTCTCCCATTTCCCCCACTCCCCCAAACAACCTTTTTGTGTCTTGGAAAAATCAGTTGTGCAACATATCAATGTCAAATTTTCCTTTGCCCTTTCCTTGCCCAGCTTTAAAGTTTATTAAACCCGGGCACTCACTGCATCGTTTATCACTGCGCCCGACTATCGTCGGCCGCTGCGATTCTATGAAGAACACAACACGACGGCACCCGTGCAATGGATCGTTTTTAATGATGATCCGTTCAGACTGCCACTAATAATTAGCATCATATCTAGCGCTCACACGGAGCAGAGTTGGATTTGTTGTACGATCGCTGTACGAGGCAGTGAGTACCAGGGTTAAACTAAACACAAGTAATACATTATTAAAAGAATTGTCATCTGTTGTATCTATTAATTTTAAGATTTTTTTTTTTCAGACAGTTTCATGGAAGTCATGCCCTTTGCATTTGTTTTTCATATTAAGTTTTTTCCGGTGATTGCAATCCTTATGGATCTAATACAGTGACGCATTTTAAGCCTGTTTAAAGAACTTAATGCTCACTTAGGAAGCGTTGATCAGCATTTTTGTGGGACCTAACAATTCTCTTTTTTATTCACACTTGACTTTTTAATACAGGTCTCTCTCCAATTAAAAACCACTTTTTGGACCAAGTTTTCCATAGACTTAAGCAGATTTGGTCTCTAATTAGAGTAGTACAGATAAAAGACATTTGTGAAATTGGGACAATAGAAAATTGGTCTTTAATTGGAGGGATGTTTAATTACACGGAGACCTGTATAATGGTTTTAATAAAAAAAAGAATCCAAATGCTTGTATTTTCTTCAAACATTTATAGTAAATTGTCACATTTTGAGAGAAATGTATTGTCTTAAATGGTAAGTCTACCCATCCGTTGAGTCATGTTCAAATTAAGTTCATGTTGGCGTGAATAAATGAGGATTAAAAAAAAGTCATAGTAACAACATTCATAGTATTATAAAAAGGTGTCAGGTATTAGTGGTTTTGTTTTGGTTATGCATTCAATTTCTTTACAACATCCTTTTGAGAACCTTGCCCAGGAAGTGACCTATTTATTGGAGGCAATACACTGCAGGTATTTTAGCTGACTGTCCATTTTATGGTTGTTAATGTTAACAAAGGAATAGCAAGCCAGCAGAGCATTAAACAGTACAGTACTGTTCTGTCCATGGAGGTGTATCTGGTCAGTCTAATCTCTGTCTGCAGTATCTCTCTATGTACTTGAAATATGTCAATAACAAATGTTTACCATGCCAGTAGGCCTAGACTAGATCAATGATTATTATTATCAACAATTTTTTATCTTTGGATGTATAATAGTCAAGGAGGTTATTATACCTCCTTGGTAAAATAGTAGACCTGATGTTATTGTTATAGTTATCCATCATAAAATGAGACACAGCCACAATCTAGTTTATTTAAATTATTTGTTTGAATAATTCTTGTAGAATTGCCAGATGCAATTCTTACAATATTCAATTCAAATAATCTACTGTATTCAATATTTATTTAAGTTAACCCATGAAATATTTGCATATACTGTAGTGCTGAAACATAGCGGGAACCATTTCACAGCCTGTCTACAGTGCAAGCTGGGTCAAAGCATGGTTAGACAAGAATGGTCAGCATATGGTTCAAACTCTCGTCCTGAGAAAGAACCTCAATGGAATTCGCTGTGCCAAACTGCCTTCCCCAAAAAGATATAGGCCTGTCTACTGCCAGTGTTTTGAAAAATCCTCAAACATATAATAGGCCTTTAGCAACTTCCAATGACTCACAAACCTTTTACTGAAAAATATCTAAAATTGATTTATAATGTACTAACATATTGGGAAAAGACTATAGAAAAAACATGTTTTTGGGCCTGTACATTTACAAAGGGAATTGTTATAATTAGTTAAATAATAGTAACTTACAATGGGAAGTAAAGCAATTTAAATATTGTTTAATTTATTGTTCAAATGTAGTTACTCAACACAGATGGTCCTTTATACCCTTTGTTATTCTATAACAATTGTTGTTATTTAATTGTGTTTAGTTCTGGTTATTTTCTTTGAAGCCAAAATAAATTAGGTTTTATGTGTATGCATTTCTCTCAAGGGAGTTTAAGGGAGAGCCTATTCAAATACCGAAGCTATGATTCATAGGTGTTTTATCAATAGACTGGGGTAGCAATTTGAGGCACATATGTCTTGGGGCCTTTATAGGGGTGTTAGGTATATATCTACATTCATGCCATTAAGGCCCTATGAAAATAATTATTAGTTTATCAGCCTATCTGGCCTGGAAAAGTGATGAGGGAGGGAGGTTTTTTATTTTAATTTTTTAGCCATATATCACCCTTGGTTGTTGGTGCATTGATATTCAAAGTAAGATACATGATTGAAATAAATTGAAATTCCTGATGATGACATAATTAATGTCAAAATATTGAATCCCAACACGATGGCGTGTATTTCAATACTTGGAGTATGTATTATACTTTCTGATTGAAATAATACAAACAATATCTACTAACTATTTACTATAAAAATGAAAAATGAATTTCAAAAAAATGTATTATGGAAATTCTTTCTTAAAAAAAAAATAATGTTTTTCCAATTTTTTTTTCTCCAATACTGTAAAAGACATGTGCGCAAGGGTGATAAACTGATCATTTTTAAATTGGGCTGAAGTATCATGTTTTTAATGAACATGATGAGCATCATGATTGAGCTCGCAAATCTTCCTGTAGTTTCCAGGAATTTTCGGTCGTCTCCCGAAAATTCCACATTTTCTCCAGGAATTTGAATATCTCTTTGATTTCTCCATGATTTAAATGATTTTCTCAATTAGTGCTTTTGCAAAGGTAAATTTTCCCATTCTTGTGCATTGAAATATGGCAGACATATGATTTATTGAACATTCAAGGCAGCAATAAGGTATTAACCTAAACTTGCCCAAGACTTGTTTATATATTGAACATGGTGTTAAGTTTGTACATGCCTTGTACATGCGTTTAGCTAGTACACACGTTACAAACCTCTGGCTGTCCTGCACGACAAATTCTCCAGGAATTTGACTTTCACAACTTGTAAGATTGATTGATTGACTTTATGTGGAACCCATGCAAAAAATACAGCAATACAATACAAAAACATGATAAAGCAGAATTCCGAGGATAAAAAATTAAGTTAAACACTCCACTTTATTTGCATGAATGTTTTTACCAACAAAAACAAATAAGGTATTATTTTCCTCTGTTATTCGATGTTTACAAGTGCTTATTTATTGATTGATTAATTAATTGATTAATCTTGTTGAGAGCTATGAAGTGATAAAAGAATAATTTAAATCTGTCATTTCCTTATGAAGTTACAAGCATTTAAACATATATCTGTTTAAAGCACAATAATTGAGAAATCAGCCTTCAAAGTTTATGATTTTGGGCATTTCTCAGGAAGAGACCATCACCAAATTGTTAAAAATTTGAAATGAGGAAAATAACAGCATAGTATGATGTATAGATGTATGAAGTTCAATTTAGTGCGATAAAATATTGTAGAATTAAAATTATGGGTGTATAAAAATAACTTCATCTTCTCGGTATTGTACTTGTACTCTTAAAGAAAAAGAAAAGAAATTATCTAATTAATCTTTTTTTTTTCTTATTTGTAGATATTATGGAGTTATAACTACAGTACCTATTTTTCAAGTAAGGCTCATTCAACATTTTAAAATGATTGTTATTCAAGGTGACCACCATGTAAAACATGTTTTGTTCTTTTAAATGTGTTTACTGTACTGGCTGTCTCTTATACACATCTAGATGTGTATAAGAGACAGATTTAACATCACAATATTCATTATTAGACCTATAGTTGTTTTTTGAATTGTACTCCACAAATCTCAGCCGATACCTCGCACAACTGGCTAACGTCTATCCATTGTCGTGACGTCATGGCTCGCTGGCTCATCGCTGGCTCACACTTGTGATATGTCTCGCACTTGTGATCAAATAACACGCTGGCTCGCACTTTGGCAACACTCTTTGGCAGTCAACTCGCCCCTAGAAAACCCGCCCTTGGAAACTTGCCCCATAAAAAAATGTACACTTCCTAGACCATGCAGTCTTCAAAATAAAAATTTTAACCTTTGGTAATCAACTACATTTTCCACATACATAGAAATTTTTGAAACTTTATTAAAAAAAACCTAAACCATAATTCACCACACTATAGACACTTTTTGACAAAATTTAAAAATTACGACTTTGTTACCCAATGAGAAGTGTTCTAATATAGACAATGGGTCGTGTCTCATATTATTTGTTATAGTTTTATTATTCATTATTTTCACTTGACTCGCATAAATAATTTTGTTCGAAGAACATTTATATGCAGTTGTACTTCGCAGCACTTCACTTGCAATTTGCAATTTCTAGTTTTATTCTGTTTTATCCTCCATCTACATTTCACTCACTCTATCATTCATCTTCTGCCTCCCATACTTTTAAATTTATTCTTTTTCTGTTTTTATCTGTGCAAAAAAAAAATAGTTTGTACTAAGTGTATTCAGAAGTCTGCCTAGCATCTCCAAAGCAAATGAAGTATTTATTTTTTCCTGTTGTTGACAAATGTGTTTTGATAAATTAATTAATTAACAATTAATTGATTAATCTTGTTGAATTAAAATTATGGATGGTTTAAAAAAAAATTCATCTTCTCATTTTATTAAATGAAATCTTCAAAAATGAAATGCCTCTAATTCCATTGCTTTTACCTATATTTAGTAACATAAAGGGCCAAGCCAGAGTTCAGAATTCTGCTATTAAATGAATTTGTTTTATTTTTCAGAGCAAGGGCATAACGAGATGCCTGCACCACCACCCACATTTCGGTCTGTGTTCAAATTGTACTGTGGACTGCGACCTGCTACTACCGTTAAGGACCTGTGCGCCAGATATGACCCAAGATCTCTAAGAATCAATGAAAGGTTTGTTAGATACAGAATGGCGCTATTGAGAAGATTATTCTATTCGTTGCGAAGCCTGAGACTTCTACCCTTTTCACACTGCCACTTTTTAGCAAATAGTAACAAGTTGTAACCAGGTTGGTGTAGTGTGAAAGCGAATATATTTAGAACTTTCCAAAATATAGCAATTGACCCTTGTGATATCTTGGAAGAAAACAGGCGTCGTCGAGGCCTGTATATTTTTCTGAGTTGTCCCAAGTTATTTAGTTTGCAGTGCCATCAGGCAATGGAGAACAAAATGATGTTCTGTGCACTCAACCTACCCTAGATATCTAGGCCTACTGCTATTCTTCCGAGATTTCGCATAGCTTGGAATACTGTGTGTGTGAAACAAAGAAAATATCTCGGGAGATCAAAGTTGTTACAACTTGTTACTAATTGGTGAAAGATTTTCTGTTAATGTGAAAAGGGGATAAGTGTGTGAAGAGCATCTTAGCTAGGTTCATATGGGATTATAGCCAGATGAAGTAGCTGATCTACTTGCCAAGTTAATTGGATTAAATCCACTAATCGCATTCGACGTTAAGGTTAGAGCGAGATATTTTGACTACCAGAAATTCGGAAAACACATCATTAGACAGGAAGTACAATCGCATGGTGGGTAATTACTGTTGATTTTCGCGCGACTAGTTTATGCTAGATCGAGAATATATGCGTAAGCTAGGCCTAGGTCTCGGCGGTTGATTAGACTGGCCGAGGAGTCCAGCTGGAGGGTTTACACTGGGTTTTCCCCCAAGTATTTCGTTTAGCGCGTGGTAGGCCTAGTGTGGGCATGCCGATTTCGGGTCATTCCTTATTACATTGGCCGACCCCTTGCCCGTCCCACGAATAAAAACGTCTCTCACAGCCTTGTGGTCTGCTCTTAGATTTTTCAACTTTGTCACAACAATTGCCGATGTTATGCTATTGTGGCCTAAGTCCCGCATTCTCTCTGCTATCCTTTCGTAGACACCAGCCTTCTGACGGTACAATTTATCTTCAACTTTTTCTGCGATTTCTGGCTCCCTCCAGATATCTATTAAATCACATTCCTGCCCATACGTCCAGAGATGGCGTTTCTTTACTGACCTTTCGGCCATCATTTGCAAAATAAGACTTGTTGAAATTAAAGTACAGTACACAGATCAGGGAGACTGCATCAATTCTGAATGGTGTTTATGATAGCATGGAAGCATGGAAGGTCACTTTGCTTCAATTTGATTGGTGTATTCGTGACCTGTGGCCACCCGCTGTTTAATTGTTTACTGGCTTTAGGCTGGATTAAGAAGTTAGTAAATTTACTCGACGGGCTTAGTCGAGTTGTGGCCTTCATCTCGCCATACTTGAGCGGTCATACTCAAACTTATGGCGAGATCTTCTAGCTCATCCACTAAAATTATCTCGCCATAGTTGGATATGAACAGGGCTCTTGTGTGTGTGTTGGTCTTGTGATGGGATTGCCACATTGAAGAGTAATTAAAATTCACTGTTTAGCATATCCTTGGCAGTGCCTAAATCTGAATAAAAAGTATTTCTGTTCTAATGGGGAAAATATAGACCACCCCCCCCCCCCCCAAAAAAATAAATAAATAAATAAATAAAACCCCAAAAAACATACATTTTCAAGATTTTGTGTTGGTTGGGTTTAAACAACACAAATCTTTTTTTTTTGGCATTATTATTAATATTGATCATTATCTTTGGAAAACATGTTGTTGGACAAATTTGACTATTGTGCATAACTGTACTGTATGCATGAAAGTGGTATTTATAATAATAGAACATCACAGCATGGTTGATCTTGAAAATTTAATTTTTTTTAACAGGCATTTGATTCAGTTTGGTGTGATGAAAGGACTGTTGAGGAGATTACAAAAGTATCCAGTAAAGATCGTCAATGACCCTGCACAACAGACACATGATATTCACAAGTACGATCAGTTTATCCCTTCTTTAGTTTACCAACACAAATCATTTTAGAACCATGGCATGATGTAATTAGTGGCATATCCAGGAGGTTTATATGGTGGGGGTTGGCCTATTGGGAAGGAGAGGGGTTGCTGTACCTAGGTTATGTGGGGGTCAAGAACGGAGCATTCACACCCTGGCCCTGTTCCTAACAATCCTTTTACCACTATACATGTAAACGTATCGTTGAGTTGTTAGAACTAAACTGACAAAGATCAACAGAGTATGAACTCCTGTATGGAATATATTTAAAGAAACTAAAATTAATAACCATTTGATGAATATTTTTTCCATAAGGTGGATTCCAAAACAAAACACTGGGCTACTGTGATGTAGGGGTGACCCCCACATAGATGTAGAATTAAATCCGTTACCAACCAATCGACAAATGCCAAAAAATTGTTAGTCTTGTTCAGCTAAATATGACATAGCAAATTAGAAATAACAACTTTATCAGAGACTTGTTTTTATTATGAGTAGACCCGAGATTTTAAAAACGAAATGTTTTTAGGCTTTAAAGCCCCGGTACTGAATACTGATTGTCTGCCAAACTATGGCTGATAAAAAAAATAAAAAATACTGTGTTTTTGTCACAATTATGCATGTAACCCCATGTTTTGTTTGAAAATGCTCCTACAGGATTACTATTACCAGGGAGTTGTTGTTAGATACAACGTCCAAGCAGGTAACAATATTTGGTTAGCCATAAAAAGCAAGGTCAATTTGATAGAAAAAATGTCTAGTTTTACTCTGATACGGAAAAAAAACCAAATTCAGGAAACGCTACTTTGCCCACAGTTACATTTGCACAAAGAAAGAAAGACATGACAAGTTCTATTACCAGTCACCGATAACATTAAACGTCCAGCGACCCTGAAAAATATTTGAAAGTGCCAGTTGCAGAGGCAGATTCCAATCAGAGAGCTCTCTCAAATAAGAACTCAACACATACATATGGGAAAATACCATATGTAACTTTTACGGAATACGCAGCTGTAAAGGTCGATTACAGGCCCTTAAGCATGCAAAATTACTAAGTTAGAGTTTCCGGGAGCTTAGCTCTCTGAACCCCCTCCAGAGGTTCTGGGACATCGCTCCTCCCCTGCCATTGGGCAAAAATTGGCGCCACCAATTTTTTTTGGATGATTTTACACTAGCAAGAAATAAAAGATCAATAAGCAAGAAATAGTGAAATGAAGTGCCCTAATTCTTCGTTTGGCAAAATATTATATCAATCTTATGGTGCAAAAATTGTAAAATTGTGTCCTAATATTGTGCTGTAGTACTATTGAAAATAGAATAGAATTTTAAATTGCCAAAAAAACTTAAACAGGGGCCTTCAGCCACAACATCTCAGAATTTTAACTTAGGTCCATAGCAAGATACATGGTCGGAGATTTTCTTTTTGCCCGTGACATCAAATATAGAATTAATTTGGGCTTTCAAATGTATTAATTAAGAACCAGGGACCTACATGTAGGTGAATGATGTGATATGGGATGATTTTTAACTACTAGTGTAAATTTTTTGCTCAGCAACTTTTCAGAGCCTTTCAATATTTTCTGGGGGGTGGAGTTTGCTCCCTTTACCCCACTATCCTTAAATACGCCACTGTGTTCTTCATGCACATGGACCATGATGCACACACAATCATCGACTTAATGTATCCTCAGGAAGATGAGCTATGTTATACTTACATTTTGGCCTTCCACCTGAAACTTAAAAAGAGCAGCAATGAAGCTTAATTAGAATCTAAAGCCCTGTCTAATGTTATTTGAGAAGAAACTGCTGTATGTCCATATATAGTCATGGTTTGATGTCATCATGACCATATTTGAGCATGTCACATGTTTTTGTCAAATAAAATTTGATAGTCTGGACAGAGCGTCAGTCAGTGAAACTGGTAGTAACCGCTGTGTGTGTACTGAATCTAAAGCCCTGGTCATGATGACATCACATCATGACCATATATAGGCATATCATGAGTATATATGGGCATATTACAGTTTTTTTATACTGTGGACAGTACTTAAGCTATGCAGCTCTATAATGTGTTGTCTCTGAATTCCAAGGCAATTCACTGTTTATCCCTTATTAGATGTGAATAAAACAGTTTCTGTTATACTGCACTATTTAATCAGTACAGTAGGAATCTGTGTCAAGATTTCTTAATTTATCATTCTGTATTTTTTTTTTCTTTTTAAGGTACATGACAGGCCAGTTCAACTTTGATGAAATTTGTTGTAAAACTAAGAAAAGTAGCCGAGAGTTGGATGAGATTGTAAACCAGGAGGATCAGATAGTTGTGTGCTGGAAGTGAACAGAAACACAAATTAACTGCATATACGTAAGACCTGCAGGTGGCCCCAAGACGTGATATGATCCAGCACTAACTGGATTGGCAAGGGTCGCAAGTCTCCCGCATGTCGCGGGAGTCTACCGGAAATCGAGACAGCCTCCTGAAAACATGCACGAATCTCCCGGAACATGACCCATCTTTCGCAAAATTCATGATATTTGCTCGTTTTTACTATTTTTATTTATCAATTGTCTCACAGAAATCGGTGACGATGGGTATCGGCATGCACAGAAAAATAAAATTAGATGTGTTAAGAAAGCTCATTTAACCAGTATTCCCGAAAGTGACGTCTTCCATCTTGTGACCCCTGGATTGGAAAATGAATCATGTGCACAAGGGACATTGATTCCTAATTTTAAAAACTTTAGTGCTGTGCTACGGAAAATTGCTTGCAGTTAATTTTTCTGCTATATATAACATCTTCACAGGTGATTGATTGATTGAATGATTGATTGATTAAGTGGTTGAATGATGGATCAGTTGATTTTTTATTTTGATTTTGATTTATTTATTAGGTATAAACAAAGAGTATAAATAGAACAAGAGAGCAAAGTCC